GCTTGTGCCAAGCTGGGAAGCCTGACTCAGGGGGGGGCCTTCTGTGGGAGGGGAGGGGGCCGCCTTCCCCTTTGTGGCGGAGGAGTGTCGAAGCGATGATGGAAGCGAGCGCCACTTTCGTCAGGCCTTGCGCAGCGCCAGGGAGGACCAGGGCCTTTATGTTAAGTCACCAGGGCTATTTTGGGTTGCAAGAACAAACCCCATGCAGGCCTCGCCCTCCCACCCAGCAGATGTCCCCCCTACCTCCAGACGGGGGAGAGGGGGCTTCCCTTCCCTCCTGCCGGGGGCCCTTTCCCTGGGGGTGGGGGAGGGGGGCTCTTCTCCAGGGCTGGACCCAGGAGGGGCCTTCCCCTTCCGGCTCTCTCTGCATGGGGTGCCCTGCACCAGCCCTCTCCCCTTGGTCGGCTTTCGGGGAGGGGGGGCTCCTTCAGGAGGAGAAGGGAACAGGCCCTTCCCCGCTCCTAGGCCGCCCCAGGGGGAGCCCAGCCACTCCGAAGCCTCTTCCGAAAAGAAAAGGAAAGGAAATTTCTTTGGAAAACAGCCGTTTGGGGCCGTTGTTTTATTCCTTAAGCCTTGAAGTCTTACAAGAGGGCACTTCAGCTGGGATCCTTTGGGGGGGTCCCAGGCATGGCTGCAATCTGCACCACCACCACCCCCCCAGCCTCAGGGGCGAGAGCCAGAGGGGGACTGGCTCCCCTTCGAAGCCTCCGGTGGGGGGAGGGGGCCTCTTTGCCTAAAGGCAGAACCTCCCTGACTTTCAGGGACGGGGAAACTGAGCTGCAGCCCCTCAGGCTGCTCCCCCCCCCCACAGACAGACAGAAAACCAGGCCCAAAGAGTCCGAGGGAGGGGGCAGGAGGAGGAAGGAGACGGGGAGCTGAAAGCCGCCACTTCAGATCCTGGCCCCAGGAGGCTCTGCTGGGCTGAAGGCCGGTGGGGGGCGGGGGCAGCTGGCCATCCGGAGGGCTTCACGGGGGGGGGGGGATCCTCGGGTGGGGTCTCCCTCCGATGGCTGGGCTGCCGTTCCTGATGGCCAGGAATTAGGACAGCTGCAGCCCACCTCCTCTACGGAGCAACCCCTGGGAGGAGAGGGTTGCCCAGCCCGGCCCTCAGCCAGTGCAGCCCCACCCACAACCCCACCCACAGCCCCTGCAGGCCCCCCCCCCCCCCCAGCCTCCCCCCCCCCCCCCCCCCCCCCGCAAGCCGGGTTGCCCTTCCGCCCTGCCTCCCTTCCACGCCTCTGCGGCACCCTGTCCTGACCGAGGCTTCCCCAACGGCATGAAGCCGAGTCCTCGTCCCGATAAACCCCTTTTATTTGATTTACAGTGAATATCCTCTCCAACGGTCTTTCACGATAGCTCCCACTGATAGAGCTTTATCGGGCTTGGAGAGTTGCCAGGCTGATATCTTTCAGACGCCACAATACTTGCAAGCATGCCGGAGTGAACTAATTGTCTCCTTTTGCTCCTCTTTTATTCCCTCTGGGTGGGTCCATCCACCATCCACCTGTGCCTTTACTCCCGAGTTGACCCTTGTTCCTTAGCTGTTTCCTTCTCCTGGCAGCTCTGCGCATGCGCATAGTGGGAACAGGCTCCAGCTGTTCTTCTTCCCCACTGATCTCTGACTCCGAAGGCAGCTGATAACTGTCGGACGGCCCTGGCCCTGTCTCTGCCTCCGACCCAGAGCCCTCATCAGACTCCAGGTCTGGCCCATGTTCCTTGCCAACCTCCTCACTGTCCGAGTCTGCCGCCAGCTCCACTGGCCGCTGGCGGGACAAAACACACCCATGTGCCCCCCCTCCCCCATTCTTGCCTGAAACTTCTATGACCCACACAATCCTCAAGTTGTGACGGCAACGTGGATTGCTGGGATTCAGTCAATCAAAATAGAGTTGGAAGGGTCCTTGGAGGTCTTCTAGTCCAACCCCTGCTTAAGGCAAAAAGCCCTAGGTTAGGAACACCCACAACCTCCCACCGACCAATTGTTCTCAACTCCTCCTTGGTTCCAGGTTGTCTCCATCCGTTGCTTCCTGCCCTTCCCTCAGGGGTTTGGGGGAAGAGGTTGACACCCCCCCTTCTTTGGGGCAGCCCCTCAGATACTGGAAGGCGGCTCTGGGGTCCCTGAGGATTTAAGGGTTAGGATTGCTGGCCCTGAGCGATGGAGTCACATGGTACCACGGCACTTTACGGCCACCTGGCTTAGTGACGACAATCCTGTTGCCGAAGAAGACTCGCTCCCCTCTCCCAGGACCCCCTCTGGGGGCTCTGCCAGCCCCTCCCCCTGCCTCTGATCCTGCCCTTCCCTGGCTGTGGCTCTCCCCCCCCCCCCCCCCAAGGGCATCACCCCGTCCCGCTGGGCCGATGCAGTGCAGAAGGGCCAGTCCCGGTGACCCCCCCTCCGCCCCCCGCAGGAGCAGCCGAGAAGTGCTCCAAGCACGGGGCAGAGGACCGGACGCAGAACATCATCATGGCCATGAAGGACCGGATGAAGATCCGGGAGCGGAACAAGCCGGAGATCTTCGACCTGATCCGGGACGTCTTTGGGGAGAGCAAGGTGGCCCACGGGCAGCAGATCAAGGTGGTGAAGCAGAGCGTCCTGGACGGGACCTCCAAGTGGTCGGCCAAGATCACCATCACGGGTGAGGCAGTGGGGAGCCCCGAGGGGGGAGGGGCAGCCCCACCGCTGAAGCTCCTCCTGACTCCTCCTGACCCCTCCCTCTTTCCCTCCCCCCCGGACAGTGGTCTGCGCCCAAGGCCTGCAGGCCAAGGACAAGACCGGCTCCAGCGACCCCTACGTGACCGTCCAGGTGGGCAAGACGAAGAAGAGGACCAAGACCATTTTTGGGAACCTGAACCCCGTTTGGGAGGAGAAGTTCCACTTGTGAGTAGCAGCAGCAGCCTCGGCTTCCCTCCGCCCCCCCCCAAGGACACTGGGGGGGGGGGGGGGGGTGCGGGGGGGGGGCGGCCGGGGGCACGAGGGGGAGGGGGGTTGGGAAGAGGGGGGTCGTATCGGGTGTCCCGGGCAGCAGGTCCCACGTGGACCTCTTCCCTCCCTGGGGTTTATGTGGCCGCCCAAATCCCAGCATGGATCCGTCGTGGTCTGTGGCTTCTCGCCCAGCCGAGGAGGGTCTCTGAAATGAGGTCCCACCTCCCCATCAAGGGCCCTGGCGGGCAGGCTCACCAGGGCAGGAGCCCCTTCTGGGGTGACCCCGGGGGTCGTGTGCCCGGAGCCCCCCTCTTCACGCTCCCGCTTGCCGCTCCGTCGGCTCCCTGCCCTCCTCGGAGCCCCAGCCGAGCCCAAGGCAGCCACCAGGAAGCGGGGGCCCAAGAGGAGGGGCGGGAGGCTGGCTGCGGGTGGCCAAGCCGGCCCTGAGTGGCGCTCGGTGGGGGGTGCCTATGCCTGTGGTGCAGGAAGCA